TTTAGCGATTACTCCTGCTTGTATTTCCCTGAACATCAATTTATACAGGAATGGCTGAGTAGTAATGAACTGCCCCATGTGCACAGGTTATTCCCATGCATTTGGCTCGAGACAGCTGCTCCTGCCCCACCAGTTTCCCAGATACCAGCGTGATTGCACTTCCTGAGTTCACTAAAGCAATGGTCTCTATACTAGTGGTTCTCAAACTTTTTTTTTTAAATTGCTGAGGGTCTCGGCAGACCACTTAATGATCTTTCCAAATGTTGTTTGTACCATTAGCTAACTATTGTAAAGTGCTTTGTATAAAAGCGCTGTATAAAAAAAAAGTAGTAATAATTGTTTTTTCTACAAATAAAAGCACACAACTCATATTTTAATATCAGTAGTCTTACCTTTCGAATGTGATGGATGTGCCCTCTCTCCCCCGCCGCGGCAGCCCCCGAGCTGGGGCTGGGAAGGAGGGGGGTTTCTCCCCCACCACAGCAGACACAGAGCTGAGGCTGGGAAAGAGGGCCATCTCTCCCCAGCAGCCGCAGCCTGGAGCTGGGGAAAGTCGCCTCTTTCTCTGGCCGCCACAGCCCTGCATGTCCCAAATTCTCTCCAACCCCTCTTCTCACCCCACTGCCTTCTCCCACCTACCCCTTACTCATCCCACGTCCACTACCGCACCTTAGATGTGTGTCTTCTCCAGGGACCAGGGACCAGGCACCTACTTATTGGAGCCATGCCTGCACGGCTCCACTAATTAGGTGGGTGCCCCTTCATTCTCTTGTGTGTGGCCATCCAGGCGCGCATCTTAGAGGGAACTATCCGCACACCACCTGAATGGACCTCACGGACCACAGGTTGAGAACTTCTGCTCTATACCATTCATTCTAACTGGCCATGTATATCTATGTGGCATCATAGCGACTCCTACAGGTTGGATTAGGTTGCATAGATCTTCACTATCACCCAGACTGCACTGCATGGGCTCCTCAATGTTAGGGCATTGAGCTGCTATATGTCCTAATTCCCCACAAGTATAACATCTACACATAGCCCTGGTTATTCCCCTATGCTTTGGGCTATTAGGTGTCACACTGCAGCCTTCTCCCGCCAGTTCTCCAAATCCCTTCATGGCCTCTGGCTGCTCTTTTGCATCGCTCCTCCCCAACATAGTTCTGCCCAAACTTTCAGTGGTCCGGACCTTTGGATCTGGGATTGGCTACTTGGTCAGATGCTTCTCTTCTCCAGTAGTCCGAGAAAGCTCTCTGGCCATTAAATGCCTTTCTACGAGAGCGACTATATCATAGTTAAAGGAAGAGTCATTTTGGTCAACCCACCCTCATAGTTCCCTCAAGAATCTGTCCAAAACCAAGAGTGCTATGATCTGTTCTGTACTGTGGTTCTTGGGATGGAGCCACTTCCATATTAGATGGATCAGGTCGGACAGTTGTGATCTTGGCACTTTGCTGTCCCGGTGCTTCAACTTGTGAAATCTCTGGGCCCTTGCAGCTGTAGTCACTCGCACTTTCAACCGTAAGTTGGTCTCAGCATTTCTGCCTTGGGCGGTGGGGGGGGCCTGGAGAAAATCAGTCTGACTCCAGAAGGTTTTTTGCTTCACTCTGTTTTATTTTTCCTTTATTTACATGGTGGGCCTCAAGGTAAGCCCAAGAAGTTCTCTTAAGAAAAAAACAAAAACAAAAAACCCAAACGCACAAAACAATCATAAATACTTTTCCTTGCTCCCTCTCCGGGGTGTTGCCCTACTACATTGGTACCTAGTTGGTTGACACTTCTTCTCCCAGGCAGATGTTACCTTAGTTTCTTTCCCTATAGAGAGGGGAGACATCTTTCCACCCAGGGGAAGCCTTTCTTTCCTGCTGCTGCCACTACCCCGCCATAGCTCGTCTCTCAACTCTCCCCTTCTCTCCCTTACCAGAAGAGGGGGTTTTAAAGGTCATTGGCAGTTCCTAACTGGCCTCGGGTGTCTCTAGTTAACCCAAGGTAACCTTTTTTTTAAGCTCATAGGGAACAGGGCTTTGATCATTCTAGGGCTGCTATATCTACCCTCCACTTCTCTCTCATATCTGTCAGAACTGACTTTGTCACAATATCCAGAAGCACTCTTGCAAAGAATCACAGTCACCATGATAAATAACTGTTTTTGATGTACCCTAATCTTGGCCTCATTATATAAATTTAACCATGGCTCAGACATTTAAGATTTGGTGGGAAGTCGCTATGAAATTTAGTTTTTCCATATAATATAACTCAGATCTTAGTTTTTAAGATGTTGGTTGCTCAGCACTGAACTTGCTACGTAAAATAATATCCTTCTTAATAGAAAAAAAGACACAAAATACAATACTGTACATGAGGTATATTCTGTTGTCAAAATATGCATTTTTTGTATGTGTATGCTCTCTTTAGTCTGCGGTGCTGGTGAAGACACTTTCATATTTCCTGATTGGAAAAAAAGATGAATGCTTATGTCAGTAATATTATCGGAGAAAAGAAGACCCTGCTGTCAGAAATAAACAGGCACAAATTATGTACTTTGGTCATATCAGGTGTAGAGATGGAAATAACGTCAAGAAAGTTGTCAGGGAAGGAGTTGTGGTGAGTCATGGTAGCAGGGGCCAACCAGCAAGGAGATGGATAGATAGTGTGCAGCAGATCACTGGGAGATCAGTTGCCAAGTGCTCAAAGGTAGCAATGGACTAAGAAGGCTTCTGAAAATTCATATTCAGACATGAATAAATTGATTTTACTTATTTATGCTCAGTTTACATTTGCATTGTGGTCTCTCGGTACTATAATATGAATTACTATTAATTATTGGCTACCAAATGTACTGCTTACTGGAAATTTCCCATTTTTACTTCCTTTGTTGTACGATTGCAGTGTTTAGTCATGGTTGGTTGCAATACGTGTATCATCATTCCTCTCTATGACAATTAGACAGTGAAGCGAAAGTAAAGCTGCTTCAGGTGTAAACATGCCTGTGATTGGTTGGATATATGTGAATGGGTCAATGGACGAGGTATGTGTGGAATGAAGCATGAAAGTGAGTCAGAAATGGAAATCCTGCTTCCTTTCCCTTTTTGATATATCCTAATATCCTGTTTGCTGGGGTTTTTGTTTAGTTTTGTTTTTAATTAACTGCAGATATAAGCTGAAGTTCAGGAACACGTATACATTAAACTAGTAGCTGCTACTGCTGTTTGTAAAATGCTTGGAGATACCTGGATGAAAGTGTGTGTGCATATGGCAAGTGCACTGATCGTCATTTTTAAAAGTTAACATTTACCCGTGGGCAGCAGGTATCAAAGTCAGGGGAAGGCTGAGCGTACCCAAACTGCCTGTGTGGCCCCACCCACACTCCACCCCCAGACCTCCTCCTGCTTCCCACCGCACTCTGCTTCAGCTCTTCCTTCCCATATGGCCGGGGCCTCAGGCCAGTGGCACCAGAACTGAGGGGGCCAAGGGGCCATTGCCCTCCCACTTTTTGAAAGTTGACGGGCCTCATCCGTCCATTTTTTGCCGGCATGGACCCCACTCCCTTCCCCTCCTCTTCCCTCCCATCCCCTGAGGCCCCGGCCAGGCCAGCGTGGAGCCCGGGTAGCTGTGGGGAGCCATGGCAGACCCTCCACCTGCGCGGGGTGCAGAGGGACTGAGAGCAGTCCCCAGCCTGTGTCCCCACCCCCGGGCTCCCCAGCCTCCCGGGGCAGGAGGAGAGTCCATGACTCCCCGCCAGCTCCCCACAGCTGCCTGTGTGGCTCTCCCTGACCCAGTTCCACCTGGGGGGAGGGAGTGGGGAGCGGCCTCAGAGCCGCAGCCTGGCCATGGTAAGAGCTGCATGGTCAGCAGTGAGGAGCTGCAGACCCTCCAGCTGCCCCTGGTGGGCGGGGACACGGGCTGAGGGCTGCTCAGGCCCCCCATACTGCAGGCAGGTAGAGGGTCCACTGCGACTTCCCCACAACTGCACACCTGGCTCTTATCATGGCTGGGCTGTGGCTCTAAGCCCCTCCACCCCCCCACCAGCTGGAGCCGGGTCAGGGAGAGCTGCGCGGGCAGCTGTGGGGAGCCTGGGTCCCTCCACCTGCCTTAGGCGGGGGGCCTGGGACATAGGCAGGGGACTTCTCTTGCCTTCAACTTGGGCAGGGGCCCCACACACACACACGCACACACTTTTGGGAGGGCTCTGGCGCCCTTGCCCCAGGATGGGGCTAGTGGGGGCCAGCCTGCAGCCAGGGACTTCAGGCAGCTGGAGCCAGTGCTTGCGCTGCCCACCGACCGCTCCGGGGTGTGGGGACTGTACTGCCCACCCCTTTCCCCCACCAGAGCCCAGAGGCCCCCCCATACCCGCCATGCTGGGGGCCGTGCTCAGCTGCCTGCCCACCTGGGGCTCGGGTTGGGGCCGCTCTGCCTGCCCACCCACAAGCCAGGCGCTCTGGGGCTGGGGGAGGGGGCGGGCACTTGGGTGGCCCGGGGCTGGGTGGGGAGGGGCCTCTAGTCTCTGGCTGGGAAAGCGGGTGGGAGGGGAAGGGCCCATTCATTTACCTACACACACTAAAATTCATAGTTTTTTGCTCTTGGAATTTTCTGATGTCACTTTTTAGTTGTAATACTGAGTTCTGTTTAAGCATAATTGTGACAAACTTTTTTCTGTATCACAAAGTTGTTTTATAGAGAGTAATTCTGTTACTATTAGGAAAATATTAGCTGATTCTGATTTTGACTGAACGGGGGTTACTAATAAACTACTCTATTTAATTAGTTTTAAGATATACTGCAAGTTACTCCTCTACAGTATTTCATGCAGTAGCATGCAAAGATGTATTTTTTTACTGGTTTAATGTTACCATTATAATTATATATATACCTTGTTAATCTAAGCATAACTTCAGAAAACCAAAAATCATCTGTACTTTAATATTTAAAATAAAACCTGCATTTTTTTCATTATTTAATCCCATTTTTTATATTTGCTATTTCTTTTCCATTTATTTCAGGTTCTGGAAATGGAGTGGGGAGGTGAATATTCTCTTGATTCTTCCAACTTAGATTGTTTGTTAAACATTCTTCCTGGGGACTGGGAGTTTCAACAGATCCTCAGTGACATCGATGAGAAAATAAAGAAAAACTCTGCTAGGTAACATATTTTAAATGTTTCCTTTTTTTGTCCAATGTATCAGTAAGCCATTTACATTTTTAAAAGATTTGTTTCCTTTCCTCTTTTTGTGGTGATAACGTAGAATATTTTAAGTTATTTCACTACCAGTTTTGCCTTAATTCAGCCAACACTTGTGGGTTGTTTTCCTGGGGTGGTCGTTGAAGCATGAAGGGACATATGAATCTTCAGTGCATCTGGCACGTAAATATCTTGCGACGCCGGCTACAACGGTGCCATGAGAATGCCTGTTCTCACTTTCCGGTGACATTGTAAACAAGAAGCGGGCAGCATTATCTCCTGCAAATGTAAATACACTTGTTTGTCTGAATAATTGACAGAAGAAAAAGTAGGACTGAGTCGACTTGCAGGCTCTAAAATTTTACATTGTTTTATTTTTGAATGCAGGATTTTTTTTTTTACATAATTCTACATTTGTAAGTTAAACTTTCATGATAAAGAGAGTATCAGAGGGGTAGCCGTGTTAGTCTGGATCTGTAAAAAGCGACAAAGAGTCCTGTGGCACCGTCTGACGAAGTGGGTATTTACCCATGAAAGCTTATTCTCCAATACGTCTGTTAGTCTATAAGTTGCCACAAGACTCTTTGTCGCTTTTTACATGATAAAGAGATTGCACTACAGTACTTGTAATGGGGGAATTGAAAAATACTATTTCTTTTGTTTTTTTACAGTGCAAATATTTGTAATAAAAAATAAATGTAAAATGAGCACTGTGCACTTTGTATTCTGTATTATAATTGAAATCAATATATTTGAAAATGTAGAAAACATCCAAAAATATTTAAATAAATGGTATTCTATTATTAACAGTGCGATTAATCGCGATTAGTTTTTTTAATTGCTTGACAGCCCTATAAATAAGCCATTCTTTTACTTATTCTAAAGCACATTTTCTTATTGGAATAATAAGAGAAGACTTTCTAACTTGCATATGTTTTGGAGTATACTTTAAAGCATTATTTGTGGTAAAATATTTCATTATGAAGAATGGGTAAATCTGTTATATTCTCTTAATCAGAAAAGATACACAACATTCAGCTATGTGAAATCTCTGAATAATTATTCAGAGGGCATAATCCTTGCTCTGCCTTGGACTTTCCTGTGGGCAGGTCACTTAATAGTTCTGTGTCTCAGTTTCTACTTCTGTAAAATAAGAATATCTTCCTCACAGATGTTGTGTGACTAAATACATCAATATTTGTAAAATACATGGAGATCCTTGGATGAAAGATGCTGAGTGTGGCAAGTACAATGGCCATTGTTTAAAAAGATAACATTAACCCACTAATACGACAGTAATTTCTTGTTTTGAGGAAGAAACTGGAATTTTAGATACCACTCTGGGTAAATATTGGCTTTATAACAGTAATGATTGTGCAGCAGGGATTCAGCTGTGCCAAAGAAGGCATTTATGAGACTTCAGAGGATACCTTTGATGAAGTGTGATTTAGGATTGTATAACTTAATGATGAGGCCTTCCTGGGTAGGAGGTCTTTGTCCACCTTATTCAGGAAACAGTCACCTATAGGCTTTGTCCACCTTATTCAGGAAACAGGCACCCACGGAAGTTGTACTTTACAGTTCTTTCTTTTCTGCTGAAGTTAATCTAACTGAAAACTGAATTTTTATGACATCAGCATATTGCTGTTTTTAACAAAAGGTAATACATTTCTTACAGATTTATTAAAAAATTATTTAATCTTTACAATAGTCAATTATAGTGATAATCCTATAATAGGGATATTAATGAAAATCTAGCAACTATAGAATTGCAGTCCCCTTCATAGTGCTATTCCCCAATCTGTTGACATCAGTGGAAATTTGGGGCATACTCAGAAAAGTCCAGTTGATGTCTTTACAGTGTCATAAGTATCTGAAGTTTTGAGTTGCTCTGCATGAAATGTTACACATCCAGGAAGGCCACCATCAGCATTTTGACAGGTGTGTATGACAGGTGTCTTTTGTTACCTCTTCTGCTTAAAAGGTGTGTAGTTTGTGAGGGGTTGGGCCATTTTTTGACTGCAGAAGTAGATGCCAACTGTTTGTTGCTTTCACTATCACTTTATATCCATTTACATAACAATTTACATTTTCAAGTCTCTCTCTCTCTCTCTCTCTCTCTCCCCTCCTCCCTCTCCCCCCTGAATAGTTGAGATTGTCTTTAGCAATTGTAGTTCCACAAATTAGAAGGGCTTGCACCTATCAACTTTGGATGGCCCAAAGAAGAGAGGCAAGGATTTTGTCTTTTGCATTTGGTATCAGTCTGTGGTATGATAGCAATACAAGCCACTGATGCTCTTGCCGTAGAATTCTGAATTTCTACAGTCTTGTTTTTCAACAATAGCAGCTCAGTCAAGAAGACCCTGAGGTTACCAGATGTTATTTTGCATCTGTAAAATGTCGATTTCAGGAATGGAGAGGAGCTTAACAAAAGATGAACAACATTTGATGTGACTTTTTAATTAAAAAGAGTATTTATTGCTAATATATTATAGGAAATGAAATCATTTTCCAGTTACCATTGATCTTTGCAAGTAGTATGATAAGGGAGCTACTCTGTGCATTATGTGCATGCAATTGGAATGCAATGTATTTTTCATCAGATAGATTTATGTTTTATTGTACTACAGAGAATAAACATAATAGTATACAGCATGTATATTTAAAAAAAATAAAACAGTATGTGAAAATTATGACCCAGAAGTGTATAATCACTTGCACACTCATTCATGGCCTTCCAACAGAACAACTTTAACAAAATTGTATGACATAACAAATCAGTTATGTTCCACTTACCAACAGCAGTTGAATTATCTCCAGTATTTTTGTATTGTAATTGTTCTATTTTTCTCCTTGTGGTATAAACAGGAAAAAAAATGATCATCTGTGGAATATGGTTTTTTCCCTAATTTTTAAGGGAAAAGATGGTTAACACGTATATAAGAGAACTTTTATTACACTTGAATTTTAACTTTATTTTTATAGCAGTTTATGAAGGCAGCCAATTTGACCATTTTCAGTGCTGGCCAGGTTTGTGTGCCAAACTAAGCCTTGGATTATTCTAAGGTGAAGTCATGTTTCACTTTTTCATTGTAGGGTGCCATTTCTTTCTCTTCATCTCCTTCTACCCAACATACATTTGAACTTTATTATAGTTAGGTAACAATATTTTCATTGTCTAATATGGAGGTTTCAGAATTCTTAATGCAGCTTATGTACATACAAATACTCCACAGGAATTAAAAGTTCAGCTGACATCATTGTATGATTAGCTTTTTTGTTGTTGTAATTAGTGGAACACCAGGAAATAACCGTGTAGGGCTTGAAATCATGCTTATGATGCAGCTCTTCTCAAAAGTGACTGTGTAAAATTGGCAAAAATGAATTCTTAACAGATCTTTGTGTATTCAGTCTTGTCTGCTTACTTTAAGTGGATACATTTTAAAACTGCTTTTTACTCCTGATAGCTCTGCAGAGCTAGCACAACTCTATAAGAGTGAGGTAGATTTCATTCCTTCTTCTGTATACACAACAGAATTATTTACTAAGATTCAATCAGTTACATCTCTGCAACCTCATTGAAGACTATGGTTTTGGACAGGTGTCACTAAGGGCCCAATTTGGTCTGCAAAACTGATGCACAAAAGAGAAGGATTGATGTTCAGATCTCAGGTTGCGTTTGCTGTGGTCACAGTTTAAAAAAAAAAATTCACATGTAAACTGAACACACCAGATGTGGAAATGACAAACATGGATCCCTGCTACTCCATTTGTAGAGCCTCTTTTCAGAGAAGAACTTGACATAAAGCATGGTTTAAGTTCAGTGGTGACTGAACTGGGTATTAATTCATTTCAGTTAGCCTTTTACTGCTGACCTCCATCCAAGGTTTTAATATGTTATTAATGATAAAACAAGCAAGATTTGAAAGCAATAATAGGCATCTTGCATTATCTTTGTTGTAAGTCCTGTTTACATGTGTTTCTTTGCCCCACCTTAGTGTGTTATGTTTAATTTAATTTTTTCAGCTCGTCAGGACAGATATCTGTTAAATTTTTCTAAAAATCACTAGGCACATTTATGACTGCATAAATAACAAGACTTGGTTGACCAGAGACTGCATTAAAACTGGATTTAAAAACAATGCACATGATGGCAAATCAACTCTGCTTAAAAAATCTCAAACCGATAGGGTAAGCTAGTTATGCCCCTTTTGTCAGGAATGGAAGGAATATATACATCTAGGTGGCTATAAACATATACGCAGAAAAAAACCAGTTAAAACACATCAGAAGTATAACAAAAATGAAAAGTTATTCACCAGCTCAGGGTTTTATCCTAGATCTATAGCTGTGGGTTTGGAGCCTATCCTTCTTCAGGGTAGTCTCCTCCTATTCCAGGATCAGCAACTTTTATGGCAAATCCATTGGCCACCAATGTAAGAATAAACTTTTAGCCGTTTGTTTGCTGGGAACAAAGTGGTGGACTCAGTTACACGTTGTAGTCAAAACATGCTCTGAAGTGTTCTACATAATGCTGTAGTTGAGAGAATGTTTTTTAACTAGGGCTGTCAAGCAATTAAAAAAACTAATTGCGATTAATCGCACTGTTAATAATAGAATACCATTTATTTAAATATTTTTGGATGTTTTCTACATTTTCAGATATATTGATTTCAATTATAACACAGAATACAAAGTGCACAGTGCTCACTTTATATTTATTTTAGATTACAAATATTTGCACTGTAAAAAACAAAAGAAATAGTATTTTTCAATTCACCTAATTAAGTACTGTAATACAATCTCTTTATCATGAAAGTTGAACTTACAAATGTAGAATTATGTACAAAAAAAATTGCATTCAAAAATAAAACAATGTAAAACTTTAAAGCCTACAAGTCCACGCAGTCCTATTTCTTGTGCAGCCAATTGCTCAGACAAACAAGTTAGTTTACATTTGC